AAAAAAAAAAAAAAAAAAAAAAAAAAAAAGAAAATTGAAATTTACTGTTTGCAACTGACTTAAAGCAAATAAGGTTAGGTTTGAAGAGGAAATTAAAAGCATTAAAATAAACGACTGCTGGCTACACTAAAGAGGAAATTCGCCTTTAAAAAGGCCCTTTATAATTTCCTCAATTTTTTTAACAACTTAGATGACCAAACCTTCTGTTTTTCATAAAAACAACCAGTAGTTGAAAAAATTTTAAAAGAAACTCACTTTTTGAAATATATTATCAGTAAACAAATTATAAATATCTAGACTGGCCTTTGAAGTTTGAAAAATCATTGAAGCAGAAATAGTAACAGGAAGAAATAAAACACTACTAAATCAATCTCAAATTATTCAAAATATATTTGATGTTCAACTTACGAAAAATCAACAGCATATTGGCCTTCTCCATAAAGTATTGTCGAATAATGACGAAAATCTGATGAGAATGGATATTGCAAAACCGGATTGCTAAGTGCTTCATTATACCTCTCGTCTACACCTATTTTCTACAAAAGAACTATGGTTACAGAACAATAAGTTACTTTAAACTTTTCAGAGTTTCTTAAATAAAACTGGTAATGACTAAAAAACTCTAGAACAACTGAATGCCTATTAAACTCAAAAGAGACTTAATTTATTCCGGCTAATGCGAAGAAAGAATGCAGTTTTTCATCTTGGAAGATACTACAGAAAAAAATTTTCGCAAATCTCCTTCTTCCTTTCATCCAAATCTATTAATTTTACTCTGTTATGGCCAAATGCTCCTAATAATTAACAGATCCTACCTTTTATCCCCCAAACTAATCATGCATCCTGTTCATTACGAAGCACTGAAATTTAATATTTGCTTCACTAATACTTATTGATGTTCCTAGCCTGTTTGATTGTCTCCAAAACGAATTCAGAAAACTAGACAACTACGAAATCCCCCGTAAGAACTTCTTTTCAGTATTAAAACCCAACTATGGTTCGAGAGCATTTTCTTGTTGCACGAAAAGAGTTGAAAAAAGAAAGATAAAAAAGAAACAAGAAAACTAAGTACAATAAAGAACGTCAATTTGAAGTTGATATGTAATTTACTATAAACCAAACTTTTTAGACAGATGCCTTGCTGCTTTTGTCTCTCTGGAGTACACTCTTATCATTAATACAACAAAGGTCATTAAGACTCATTGAACAAGTCAATAACTTTATATTAAGCCACTGAATATATTCAAGTTCCTTTTATTTACTCTGTCATAATGTCAAGTCTGATTGTCAATGTAATCTCACAAGAAAAAAGTCAGTTAAAAAGTAAAAAAAGCAGAAGAAACGAAATCAAATTTAAAAATATGATAAGCAAATTGAGAGAATCAAAATTTATAATTAATATGTTCATAATACTAAGTTAGGTGCAATATTTGCGGTTTCTGTCTCATCCACTGTTGCTGATTAAATAAATCCAAGACTTGACCAGTTTAACCAAATGCATTTACAAACGTTCAGAAGTGATAAATTTATCAGAACTTAGGTCTGTTTTCTGAATGCCGTTATTTAATGAAAAATCAATAAATAAATAAATAAAACTAAGATTTTTACAGGTAATTGTTCTTAAGAAAGTAGAAAATGATGATGACGATGAAGAGAAAAAAAACAGTAGACGCATATAAAAACCTCCATAAAACTTGAAACTCAAAAAAAAAAAACACGACTTAAGACGATATCAACTATAAAATTTGGTTGTCATATTCTATTTCCAATAATTATTCAGATATATTAAAAAAAAAATTAACACATTATAAGTTACCATAAAATACATATTTCTGTACATCACAGTCATATTACAGCGGTTTAATTCGGGCTCCATATGATAAATATGATAGACTAAAGCTGCAATTAATATATATCCAACTGAAGTTACTGCAGAAAACCATTTCATATCAAACTTTTACGACCCGTTTCACCTAAACAGAAAAAAGAAAAGAGGAATACCGCAACGTTAATATTAATTACAACAAAATCCGCTAACTACTAACGAACTAACCAATTAACCGACTATAAAACTAAAACTGTCAAAAGTGTTCCACCTCCAACTACCCCTCCTCTCTCGTCTAAAGAGCAAATTAACATATTAAATATGTGGCATCAAAGTTAGTCCCTCCTTTAGAAAAAACCAAATTAGTTTCAAGTAAAATAAATTAGCCATACTTCCTATTCAAAATCGTTTTAATCGCTTGTCTTATTTCATACTATAATTGCGTACATTAAAACGATAAACAACAAATATGCAGGAGAAATAACGAACAACAAAATAGGCCACACCAAAAAAAAAGAACCAAAAAACCGATAACAAGAGACCAAAAAAATTTACCAAAAAAAAAGTTCTGCACTGAATTATTTGACAGAAAAGAGGAAAAAATTCAACATTAAAAAAAAAAAAAGAAATTGAAGTAAGCTTTCTGAAGTTCATTTTTGTAATTGCCACAACATTTCTGTATTTACACTTTTCTCGATTACCACTTTTTTGTTATAACAATTCTTTCAAAAATCCTTCTTTCACTTTTTTTTTTTATAGCCATAGACTTCTGCAAATAAGTTTCAAGAAGAGAAAGAAGCGTGAAAAACGTTTAACTATAAAAAATTGTAAAGATGAAGCAAAACTTAAGACGTAATGTAAATAATAAAAAGAAGAAATCATTGAATGACGCAAATAAAGTTATGTGTTTACACAAAAACCAACATAAACGACAGCCAAATTTGCTACGCTTTTCATTTCTGTAAAAATGAACAACTAA